GACCTTGGCAGCTCTGGCCAGCTGGTGGACAGGAGGGTAGGATCTGATATCCCCCCTAACTCTGTAAAGCCTCTTGGCTGAGAAGTGCTCATTATTTTGTATAAATGTTAAAGAAGTGTCGCAACGCAACAAAGCTCCTGTCCTTGATTTTGAATTGTTTGCTCAGGCTGCCTTAGCAAAGAGCCACAGACTGGGCAGCTTGGGCAAGACATGCAACTTCTCATGGTGCTGGAGGCCAAGTCCAAGACCATGCTGGTAGGGTCATCTGCTCTCCTGGCACCTCCTGCCTGGGTCCCTGCAGGGTCTTCCTCCAGGCCTGGGTCCCTGCGGGGTCTTCCTCCAGGCCTGGGTCCCTGCGGGGTCTTCCTCCAGGCCTGGGTCCCTGTGGGGTCTTCCTCCAGGCCTGGGTCCCTGCAGGGTCTTCCTCCAGGCCTGGGTCCCTGCGGGGTCTTCCTCCAGGCCTGGGTCCCCACGCGATCTCCTCTCTGACTACACTCCTTCTTGGACTGGAGTACACCCATTAATTTTCCACATGTAGTTAAGGACGCTCACACGTTAGCCTGGACTTGCTTCTGTGATTTACAGGAGTTCACAGCCAGTATGTCCTGACCTTAGAGAATGAGATTAGATTTCAAAATAACTCGGGAAGCCAGAGAAAGCAAGAAAATGGTCCAGCAATTTTGCTTGGTTAGATCTTAATTTATTCCAGAGGGGGCCCAGGAGAGGAGACTCCCAGGTTGCTAAGGACACAAACTCTATCCTGAGTATCCTCTGAGTGCCACCACTGGCTCCTCTGGCATCTGCCAGCCCTGCTTGTGGCCTCCTGGGGATGGGAGAGTGGGGGATGGGCTGTCAGAAAAGTTTTGTGAGCCAGAGCACCGTAGGGGATTACCAACATTCCTGTGGTTTCTGGGGTCTCTCAAGCAGACTGGAGTGCAGGCATGCTTGTGAAGAGCTTTCTTCCACAGAACTGTTGCAAAGAGCTTGATATCAGATTTCAACAACAGATGGAAATTTTGTAAGCACTTATTTATGTGCAATATGCTGGTTGCACACTTGAGATTACACTAGTGTGCAAGTGACCAGCCACTGTTTTTTTTTTTTTTTTAATTTTTTTTTTTTTTTTGGAAAGGCAGATATACAGAGAGGAGGAGAGACAGAGAGGAAGATCTTCTGTCTGATGATTCAATCCCAAGTGACTGCAATGGCTGGTGCTGTACCGATTCCAGGAGCCAGGAGACTCTTCCAGGTCTCCCACACGGGTGCAGGGTCCCAAGGCTTTGGGCCGTCCTTGACTGCTTTCCCAGGCCACAGGCATGGAGCTGGATGGGAAGTGGGGCTGCCAGGATTAGAGCTGGTGCCCATATGGGATCCCAGTGCATGCAAGGTGAGGACTTTAGACATTAGGCTACCATGCCAGGCCCAGGATCACCCATTTTTTTCCATTCATATTTATTTTATTTGAAAGGCAGAAAGACAAGAGACAGTGACAGTGAAAGAGGTTTTCATTGGCTGGTTCATCCGATCCCAAATGCCTGAAACAGCCAAGGCTGGACCAGGCCCCAGCTGGGAGCCTGAAATTCAACTTGGGTCTCTCAGAGCGCATGCTAGCAGGAAGCTGGAATCAGGTTAGCCCAGATTCCAACTCAGGGCTGTGATGTGGGACCAGGCAGTCACCGTGCTCACTTGTGGCAACCTTCTGTCAAAACCAAGACCATTTTACAACCGAGGAAACGGGCCAAAAAAACAAACCAAAACAAAAAACGACTGTCTGTGAGTTTCAACTCCAAACAGTAAAAAAACAAGGCCAATAATTTAACTTAACAGGCTCCAAGTTTCACCCTGGTATTAGCCACACTGCTCTGCCTTAAGTTATTTTTCTGATAAAGGAGTTAAGTCCTCGGCCCAGCATGGTAGCCTAGCGGCTAAAGTCCTTGCCTTGCATGCACAAAGATCCTATGCGGGCACCAACTCTAATCCTGACAGCCCTGCTTCCCATCCAGCTCCCTGCTTGTGGCCTGGGAAAGCAATCAAGGACAGCCCAAAGTCTTGGGATCCTGCACCTCTGTGGAAGACCTGGAAGAGGCTCTGGGCTCCTGGCTTCCTATTGGAGCAGCTCCAGTCGTCGCAGCTGCTTGGGGAGTGAATCATCGGATGGAAGATTTTTCTCTCTGTCTCTCCTCCTCTCTGTATGTCTGACTTTCCAATAAAAATAAACAAATCTTAAAAAAAAAAAAAAAAGCGAGGGCCCGGCACGGTGGCGCAGTGGTTAAGACACTGGCCTTGCATGCCCAGGATCCCATATGAGCGCCGGTTCTAATCACAGCAGCCCCACTTCCCTTCCAGCTCCCTGCCTGTGGCCCAGGAAAGCAGTCAAGGACGGCCCAAGGCTTTGGGACCCTGCACCCACGTGGGAGACCCGGAAGAGGCTCCTGGCTTCAGATCCGCATAGTATGGACCATTGCGCTCACTTGGGGAGTGAATCATTGGACGGGAAATCTTCCTCTCTGTCTCTCCTCTCTGTATATCCGCCTTTCCAATAAAAATAAAATAAATCTTTTTTTTTTTTTTTAAAGGTTAAGCCCTTTTTTGTAGTTGTCTAGCTAGGTGGAAATCCCTTATTAAAGTTTACCTAAACACCTAACTCGGTAAAAGCATGTTTTGCTGCAAACACAGTGGCTGGTCCAACTTAACTTTAAATCTTTGTCAAATGGGTTGGATTCATTCACCTACTACTACAGTTCTTTTTTTTTTTAATTATATTTTTGACATTCTTTACATAGTTAATTAGGGTAAAAAGGCTCAAGGGCTATAGGAAAGTGGGTAAGATTATTATTTCCATATTGTTTCCTTCATGTATCTGAGGTAAAGGGGGATAGGGGGAGAAGCCCCACCCAGCCTCCCACCCATCCCAAGTCCCCCATGTGGGGCATGCTCCGAGATACTTGCTCAGGGGTTTTGCTGGTTCCCCAGACTACTACAGTTCTAATGATTTCATAACTGCTTGAAGATAAACGTCTTTTCCTTGAGCTGTTTACTTGGCATCTACTTGGGGAGTGAACCAGCGGATGGAAGCACTCTGTGTCTCTCCTTCACTCTATAAGTCTGACTTGCCAATAAAAAAATAATTAAAAAAAAAAAAAGACTTAAGGGAGCTTCCAGATGGGGGGGGGGTCACAGGCCGAAGACGGTGTGCCCCCAACTCCCCAGGTTCCTGGGTGTCGGAAGGGCTCTGCAGGGAAAGCGCAACGACCGAATGGGGTGAACCTCAGTGTTCTCCGAAGCCGCATGGCGGGGTGGGGGGAAAAGCCACGACCAGGAATGGAGGGACGGCCGCCGGCCCCAGTGGCCACCAGTCACACGCAGGTGCCACTTTCTGGTCCCCGGAGTGAGGCAAGGAGCGCTTCCCGTGCTGCTGCTGTCCCCCGGGAACCTGCCTTCCTCCTTGCCCCCGCGTGGGCTTCTCGGCCCCGGTACCCCACGCTCGAGGTCCCTCCACAAGCCAAGTGCTCAGGGAAGCCGAGGTGGACAGAGGAGGGTCCCACGACCCTCCGTCCGCGTCCATCCGACGCCGCGGCCCGAGTGGCGCGGCCGGCCGGACTGAGAGGGCCTCGTGCTTGTTCGTGCCACAGGCCTCGGGCTCCAAAGTTGGCATTCATTAGTCACTGGGGGGAGTGGGGGGGTTCGACGCTGACCTCGAAAGGCCGCCACCGCAGCGTCGGGCTTTGGGCTGAGAGGGCTCGCTGCAGCCGCACACACGCCCGCGCGCTCGGCCGGCCGCCCGCGTGCGCCCCGGGGCTGCAGAAGGTGCCGTTCCCGCCCGTCCGCCCGCCCGCCTCGCCTCGCTCCACGTGCCGGCGACCCCGAGGCGTCACCTCGGCCCCGCGTGTCCGCCCGCTGCCCCGAGCGCCAGCCACCACCGTGCCCACCTGCCTTCCACGACCACGCCGTCCTCGCTCCTTTCCTCAGGCCCGCGGCAGCAGCACCGAGCGTGGCCACGGCGCGAGGAGCCGAGGGCGGGACGCGGCCCGGCGCGAGGCGAGGCGCACGAGGCTGAGCGGCGTTCGCGGCCGGCCTGGGGGCGGGGCCGGGCTCGGCTCGCTGAGGGGGCGGAGCTCCGGACGGGCTTGGCTCGCCAAAGGGGCGGAGTTCCTGACAGGCCGGGCTCGGCTCACTGAGGGGGCGGAGCTAACTCAGACCGGGCTCGGCTCCTGACGGACCAGGCTCGCTGAGGGGATGGGCTAGGCTCGCTGATGGGACGGAGCTACGGACGGGCTCGGCTCCCCAAAGGGGCGCAACTCCTGACAGACCAGGCTCGGCTCGCCAAAGGGGCGAAGCTACGGACAGGCCTGGCTCGGCTCGCTGAGGGGGCGGAGCTAATTCAGGCCAGGCTCGGCTCACTGAGGGGGCGGAGCTCCTGGCAGGCCGGGCTCGGCTCGCCAAGGGGCGGAGCTTCTGACAGGCCGGGCTCGGCTTGCTGAGGGGGCGGAGCTCCGGTCGGGTCGCGCTCGGCTTGTTGAGGGGGTGGAGCTATGGAAGGCCTGGCTCGGCTCTCTGAAGGGACGGGCTCGGCTGGCTGAGGGGGCGGAGCTCGTGACAGACTGGGCTCGGCTCGCTGAGGGGGCGGAGCTCCGGATGGGCTCGGCTCGCTGAGGGGGCGGAACTCCTGACAGACCGGGCTTGGCTCGCTGAGGGGATGGGCTCGGCTCGCTGAGGGGGCGGACTCAGCTCCCCAAAGGACGGGGCGGGCTCTCTGCGGGCTGCAGCCAGGAGGCGGGGCCGAGGGCGGGGCCAGGCTCAGCACGGGGCGGGGCTCAGCACAGCTCCTTCCTGATTGGCCTTCACGGCGCGCCCACCTCGGGCCGGTTTCGGCGCGCGCGGGGAGAGGGGCGGGGCCTGGCCGGGCGCGGGGCGGGGCCGCGCCGTGACGCTGCCCCCTCCGGCTGCGGCCGGCCGGGGTGGCTCTTGTGGGCCAGCGGCGGCGGGAGCGCGCGGAGTGCGTGCCGAGCCCGGTGTCCGGCGGCGGGCGCGAGGGGTCCCCGTTCCCGGGCCCGCGGAGGTGGAGGGCTGGAGGTGCCGGGGCCCGAGGAGGCCGCGATGAGGCGCGGCAGCGAGGACGAGGCGGCGCCCGCGGGGGACCCCTGGGCGGAGTGCTTCGAGGCGGCCGTGCAGCTGGCCCTGCGCGCGGGACAGGTGAGCGGCCGGGCGGCGGCAGGCCACGCCCCCGGGGGTGCTCGGTCCCGGGGTGACGGAGTCCCGGGCTCGGGCCGAGCTGCTGGGGCGTGACCGGGGACGGCAGCCCTGGCTAGTTCCAGTTGTAGTAACGCCTTCGCTTTCCCGCGCGCCCCGGGCGCCGTGTGCCCGCCGTGACCCTGCCCTCCCCAGGACCCCCGGGTGGGACACGGGGAGCTGCTTTGGAGCTGACCCCGAAGCCGTGCGTGCCTGACTGTCCCGTGGGTGCAGCGGAGCTGCCGGGGAGGTGAGGAGGACGGTGGTGCGCGTGGTGGTCTCCTCCCCGCGCGTTCCCAAACGTGACCCCGAGTGGCACTGGTCTCAGTGTTAGGGAGGATCTTAATGATCTGCCCCGGAAGAGTGGAAAACCGAGCCAGAGGGGCTTAGGAACGGAGTAAGCCTCTCCTCTTCTGATATCTTGACTTTTCGGGCTGGCGCCCCGCTTGGAGTTTCGGTTCTTTAAGATCTGTAGTTGAGTTCTGGAGACCGGGGGGAGGTGGGAGGCAGAGCGAGTGGCGTGGGCCCGGTGGGCCTTTTGCAGCCACCGCGTGGTGCTCGCGCTGCCCACGCAGCAGGACGCACGCCCTGGAGAGTGGTGCGGCTGCACCCTCCTGGTGGCACTGCCTTTCCCGCCTGCTGGAGAGGACCCAGTCCTCCTGGCAGCTCTGCAGGCCCGCTGGCCCTTCCCCCGCCTCCCTCCTCGCTTCCCCTCCCCGGCCAGCATCATCCGGATGTTCACCAACTTTGACGTCCCACCATAAACTGCTGCTGCTGCTGCTGTTGCTGCTGTTTCCCCTTAAGGCTTTGCCGAGAAGCCAGCTTAGGATTCAGATACTGCTGGGTAAACCCTGCCGATTTAAGGCACGATTTCCATGCTTTCAGTCTAGATCCTTGAAAAGAGATTTTTTTTCTTTTAAGAACTCTAAAAAAAAGCCAGTGTTCAGACAGAACTTGTGACGTGGCACAGTTCTAAGGGGCTTCTGTGTCTTCACCTATTAACAAGATAATTTCTGTTTTTGCAATTGCCCAACACGAGGAAAGTTTTTTCTCTCTTTTTTTTTTTAAGGCGAAGGGGAGGGGCGAAGTTAAGATTCAGCTTGGAGGAGCTGGGACAGGAAGCCCTGGGCAGTGGGCCGCCCTCTGGGTCCTTTGGTGAGGCAGTGGCTAAAATAGACAAGGGCAGCGTTGCAACCTGTGCCTTACCCCTTGCTGAGAGCTGGGGGGGGGGGGTTGCGGGGGAGCGGGGAAACTAATTGGTGTGACTCCCCCACCCCTTTTTGTTCTGTTGTTGTTGTTTTTGGCTTAGCTTCAGCACAGGTATGGAACAGCCCCCCCCTCCTCCTGGTCCCCCACGCTCTGCTGTTTTATCATCAGCCACCCTCAGCTGCTCCTGGGTCTGTTTTGCAAGTTGGGGAAGCAGAGGCGGCGTGGGGGGGCCTCCCAAGAGATCCCTGTCTGCTCCCCATATCTCAGAGGCTGGCTGCAGGCCAGACAGCCCTACACAATCTGCCAGCACCCACCTGGGGTGCCGCCCTCCCCCCAGGGCCTCCTGTTCCTGCAGCTGCTGCCCTTCCAGTCCCAGCCAGGCGCCCCAGTGCAGGAGCCTCCTCTCTGATTGGTTAGTCTGTGGGGAAGGAGAGCTGCAAAGCTGCAAAGCTGCGCTGATCACCACTGCTGCAAACAGCAGTGTTGGCTGAACTGTGTGTTTGTCATCTTGTGCGTGACAGCTATAAGAAAGGTGTGTGTGTGTGTGCGCGCGCATGTGTTTATGCTGGAGAGGCAGATTTACAGAGGAGACAGATCTTCCATCTGCTGGTTAACTCCTCCAAGTGACAGGGGCAGCCAGAGCTGAACCAGTCTTGAACCAGGAGCCTCTTCCAGGTGTCCCACATGGATGCAGGGTCCTATGGCTTTGGGCCGTACTCCACTGCTTTCCCAGGCCACAAGCAGGGTGCTGGATGGGAAGTGGAGCAGCTGGGACATGAACCTGAGTCCATTTGGAATGCCAGTGTTTGCAAGGGGAAGATTAGCCAATTGAGCCACTGTGCCAGACTCTGCAGGAAGGTCTCTTAGCCTCGCTTTTTTAACTTGCTTGTGGGCAGGGTTCCAGCTTATACTGGGCCTGAAGATTGTTACCTAGGACAATTTAGAGGTCCCTGTTTGAGAAAGTTGAAATTCAAAGTTAGATACCGAAGTTATTTATGCAGAATGGGAGCAATAACAACTGTAAACTATTTTTTTCACCTTTATTTTAAAGGCAGACAGAGATCTCCTATCTGTTGGTTCACCCCTAAATGCCTGGCAAGCTGGGGCTAGACCATGCTGACAGCAGGAGCCTAGAACTCAATAACTGAGCTGTCACTATTGCCTTTCTGTGTGTGCCTTCTCAGGAAGCTGCAATCAGAAATGGAGCCAGGATTAGAATCCTAGCAGTCTAGTGCTGGATGCGGGCATCTTAACTGCTATACCAGATGGCCACGCTTCAGGTTTCTTTTATATATAAAGGTACCTCAAAAAACTCATGGGAAAATTAAAGCATTATTTTGGGAACTGAGACAATGGCTCAATTTGTTAAATCTCTACCTGCAAGCACCAACTCCCATGGGCACTGGTTCAGGTCCCACCTGCTCTACTTCCCATCCAGCTCCCTGCTTAGGACCTGGGAAGGCAGTAGAGAATGGACCCTGTGCCCACTTAGAGGGCCCAGAAGAGGCTTCTGGCTCCAGACCGGCTAAGCTTGGGCAATTGTGGCCATTTGAGGGAATGGACCAGCAGAGGGAGGATCTTCCTGTCTGTCTCTCTGTAGATCTGCCTTTTTAGTAAAATAATAATAATAATAATAATAAATATTATTCTGATGCAGAAATATTTTGAAACTCATATATACATGAGGTCTTTAAATGTTGATGAAAAATGGATATTAAGAACCACATGAATTTCAAGTATTTTACTCCAAAAATAAAGTTATCTTTCAAAAATGATTTATTAAAGAGCCATTGATTTCCAGCCTCTCTCCCTTAATACCTACAATACCTGGGCCAGCAGTGGACCAGGACTGAATTCTGGGGTCGAGAACTCAAATTGTTCAACATGGCAGGAATTCAGTGACTGGAGCCCACATGTCCTGCTTCCCAGGGTCTTTGTTAGCAGGAAGCTGGGATCAGGGGCTCCCAACACCCAGCAGAGGTCACGGAAGGGCCCAGGGTCAGAACTACAGTCCTAGGAGCTGGCTTTTGGAGTTGCAACCTGAGAACACTTTGTTAGAGCTCTTTGCAGGGAGTAGGAGCTGGAGCATTTAGGCCTGAGCCTCCTCAGGTATTCATCTGGGTTTACTTACAGCACCATCTCAGGACAGAGCAGAAAAACAAAAACCCACTCCATGCTGCTTCACGGCGACCCCAGCCTCCTCTGTTCTCCATGCACTCCCCTTGTCATTTCCCCAATCCCAGCCTTAACAAGTGGGTTTGTTGTCCTGTTACCGCTGACGGGCAAGCCCTTTGTCCACCCAGATCTGGCTGTTCTGCATTTGCCTGCCCTTTTCCTGGCCTGTGTTTGCCAAAAACCTCCTTTCTAGGGCCCAGCCCGAGCCCCTGCCTTCGCACACTTGCAGCTGGAGGGGCCCCCTTCCCAGGTGTCTTGCCGTATCTTTCACTCGCCCTACTGTGGGCTCTGAATGTCTGCTCTCCTCTGCGAGCCTCTGACTTGCTAGAGCGGAAGCTGCCTTGACCCCATGCCATCTACTTCCTGCTTCCCAAAGCCTCTCTCTCTCTCTCTCTCTCTCTGCTTTTAAAAAAGATACGGTTTATTTATTTGAAGGGCACAGTTAGAAAGGGAGAGAAAGATCTCTGATCTGCTGGTTCATTCCTCAAATGGCTGCCATAGCCAGGGTTAGGCCAATAAAGCCTGGAGCTTCTTTCTGATCTGCCGTGTGGTTGCAGGGATCCAAGCATGTGAATCATCCTCTATTGCTTTCCCAGATGCGTTAGCGGAGAGATGGATAGGGAGTGGAGCGGCCGGGCCTCCTGCTGGTGTCCATGTGGGAACAGTGGGTGGCTCTGCCCGCTGTGGAATAACGCTGGCCTCAGCAGTGTTTCTGATGTATGATTTTCATTGCATTCACCCAGGAACTAAGCAAGTGAAGTCTTGTAAGAGGACTGTGGTGAGGCACAGCTCCACCCTGTCTCATGCTTCCCACCCCCTCGTTCTGTCCCTAAGGGCTCCGTTTTCAGCTTCCTAGTTACACCCATTTTACCAAGTTTATCCCCTTGATCTTCATGTCCACAGTGGGACAGTCTTGGGATTGCTGCTTGAGCTAGGCAGTAACGTTGGATAACATGCTGTTTTCTTTGTGCAATTTCAATTTTCCTGGATTTTTTTTTAAAGGTTTGATTTTGCTTTGACATGCAGAGATGGTGGAGAGAAACAAGTGCTAGCGGTATCTGGGTGTGGGTCAAGTGAAGCCGGGAGCTAGGACTACCGTGTGGAAGGAATACTGTTGGTTGAACCATCGTCTGCTGCCTTTCTGGGTTCACAGTAGCAGGAAGCTAGAGTTGGGAGCCGGAGCCAGGCATCAGATCAAGCCTTCTAATAATGTAGGTGTTTCATCATGACGGTGTTCCATTGTGGTCTGGAGCTGCGTGTCCCAGGTGACTAGTGCACATGGCTTTTTGCATGTGCACTGGCCTCTTTGGTGTTTTCTGTTTGCTTTTTTTTTTTTTAAAGATTTATTTTTATTTTTATTGGAAAGGCAGATATACAGAGAGGAGAGACAGAGAGGAAGATCTTCCATCTGATGATTCACTCCCCAAGTGAGTGCAAAGGCCAATACTATGCCGATCCGAAGCCAGGAGCCTCTTCTGGGTCTCCCACGTGGGTACAGGATCCCAAAGCTTTGGGCCGTCCTCGACTGCCTTCCTGGGCCACAGGCAGGGAGCTGGAAGGGAAGCGGGGCAGCCGGGATT